ACGACCACCGGCACGTTCGAGCCCCAAAGGCTGATTGCAAGTCTCGTTCTTTTGCCCGCCCCAGTGGAGTCTGTCGGTGGATTAGGAGGAGAGAGACAGAGAAAGGTAGTGTAGGGGAGAAAGAGTGAGAGACATAGGTACGGACACACTCACGTACGGACACGCCAGGTCAGGGCAAGATATGACAGGGGAGGGGTGAAGACGTACTCCGTACTGAAAGATGGAAGATGAGGGGGGTCCAAGTCAATATGGAGGGGGTCAGAATGCAGAAAGGCAGAGCGACGAGGGAGAAGAGAGGAGGGGCGTGGGAGATGACGCTCCGGGGTGTGTGGGAGACACAGTTTTTTTTTTGCCTTTGCGTCTGGTCGTTCGGGGTGGCCTCGATGGTGCAAGCAAGGGTGATGGTGGGTAAGGAGTCCAAGGGTGGGCAGGGGAGGGCCTCGTCTGTGTGGAGAAGTAGCGAGGACTGGACCCGGCTTGGAGGGAAGCGAGAGAGAGAGAGAGAATGAGAGAGAGAGCAAGCGAGAAGAAGGGTTGATTGGGGAAGGGAGGCTTGGCCTGGGATTGGACCGAAATCTGCTGAACCGCATGGGCGACAGACACTTGGCAACTGCAGAGAGAGAGAGGAAGAGGAGGGGGAGGAACTCGAGGAGAGACACTGGGGGACTCGTGAGATGTCCTGGGCCCGGGGATGGACAATGTGGGATGGGACTGCGACGTGGACGTGGACTGGGGAGGAGGGATCTGGGCACTAGCAGCAGGGAAGCAGCAAGCAGCAAGCGGCAAGTGAATGTGCGGTGCAGTTGCGATGCGAAAAGAGGTACTTTGCCATAGTCCGGCGCGCCACCGAGCACTTCACGTACAAGGTAGTTCCTTACGGACGGACAGACCAGGAGATACGTACTCTTGTATCTCGCCAAGTGCCTACCTACCTCGGGATACCTTGGGGCAGGTGGGACGACGACTCGTAGCCACTCAGCAAGGACAAGATGGGTGCAAGGGGAGCAGATGGATGGATGTACGCTGGCTCCGTGTAGGCAGAGTAGTGGACGAAGTGACGGATGCAAGCACAGAGTGAATATACCGGTAGGTTGGTGTTGTAAAGGCGGCATGTATCATGCTGAGGGAAATCAAGGCAAAGGGAAGTACAGGAGCTGTGCGAACCAGAGAGAGAGCAATAGAGAAAGAGGCGCAGGTGTACAAAGTAGGGGCGCAATGCAACGCAACGCTATGCTGCGCTGCGCAAGCGTTAATCGGACCCCTGCTAGCCAATGCACGCACCAGAGATGCAAGTGTGGCAGCTTGCAGCCAGACCGACAACTGGGGTGGAAGTGGGAGGGTATCGGAGGGAGAGGTCCAAGGTGCAGGAAAACCGCGAGGAACAAACACACCGGTACCTACCTCAATGTCTATTCGTCAGGGTTCGTCCACCAATGCGGTGATGGTGATGATAGTGATGATAATAGAGGGGGGAAACTTGTCTTGACAGCATAGGTTTGGGGGGAGGCGCACAATACACATATATATATATTTGTGTTTCTGGGGTTGGAACTCCTCTATTCGACATCAGGTATGTAGAATTGAACGAGAATAAGACACACAACGGCGAGGCGGCGAATGCGGCGTTCTGCGAGTGGTCAATTGATTGGTTGATATGACCCGGAAAAGGTCGTCGAAGCAGAAAAGGGATCCGCAAGGAGCCGTATAGGCGAGTTGAGGAGATGCGGAGGCAGGATGATGGGGGCTCTCTCCACGTTCATGGAAACTTCAGAGACAGAACAGAGGTAAAGCCCGAGTTGTATTCACCCCTCGCCGGAACACAAGGGATAAATAGAGCTCAAGCATGGACGGGTGCTGAATAGCGATTGAGCAGCCTCCCACGCCTGCATAGCGGCGGCCGGGATAATAAACAAGAGACATGGAGGATGATCCGGGGCAGGCAAGATAAGGCCACTCGAGGGAGGTAAGCCAGGGTCCAGAAATGAAGACGGTCTCAGCAGGGACAAACCCCTCGAAAGCACGGATTCGTCCCGGCCGCGGGTGCGCGGGTACAACAGCCTGAACAAATCGTAGAGCTGGAAAATGAAGGCATGCCAGTGTCTGGTGGACGAGGCCACCGGAACGGACTTGGGAATGGGCGTTGATTGTCCGTTACCGCAAGGAGTAGAGAGACCGTGTGGGGGGACACTTGTCCAACACTGTAGCCATACTGTAAGGCGGTCCTGGGGAAGTGGAAGTTGCAATCCCGGAATGCCACCACACATTGGACGAAGAGAGAGCGAGACAGCCCGTCGCGGATGTGGTGCCAATGAGAGCAAGCCTGTGTTTGTGCAGTCGCATCCAACAGTGCCAACATAAAAAGTATTACTGGCCAAAGTGACGAGATGACACATAATCCAGTCATGGGTACCGTATGAGGTATCAAGCGCTGATGAGCGGAGGAATGACGGTCAGAGGAGTGAAATAACAGGTGATCTTCAGATCTTTTGGTCTCTGATCTTTAGCCATATCCAGGTCATGGGCGCCCGTCTCACTTTGTGTTCTCGGCAAGAAGACGTCAACGTGGGGACGTTTGTCGTCTTGTCGAACCATGTCGGATACAACGAAACTTGTGTGTTCAAGCCACGAATTCGTTTTCCCGAGAGAAAAGATGCAAGCGCAAGTGCCAACACCCTTTTGAGTGGCTCAAGGAACTTGACCGACCAGTTTAAGGTGCAACCACGGCAGCGATTTAGGGGTTACGACTGCGGATAGCAGCGTGTATCTTTGCGGTGCGGATGCCATCGAATCTCTCTCGGTTGGAATGCTCTAGGTCTTGACGGGGCCTGAGCACGGTGAGACCTCGTGATGAAGCCAAAATCCCTCCAGTGACTTTGGTGCGAGAACGATAATGGCACTGGCAATATCCAATGACCTGGGCCAAGTTGCGATCCTCGGATAGTCGGACGCCTCAATGTCTGAGGGTTCGAACCGGGCCAGCTCCCCAGCCCCAAGCCCCAAGCCAGTCTGGCCCAGGGCTGGCCAGGCAAGCCTCAAGCGAGGGAAGCAATGGGTCTTCTTGGTCGCTTTTCGGCAGGCTCGAAATTGGCAAGGCGACAGTGGACACCAAACAACAGGGGTGAGGTCGGCTGGACAGTGGACCTGGGCAGGAGGGCAAATGGAGTTGAAAATTATTTTCGAGAAGATTTTTTTTTACCAACTGTCGCGCTCTCGCCCCGGTCAAATCCCACGTTGCTGTGCCCGCTAACGACATGATCTCCGCTCTCAACTTCAAAACCTCTCCGACGGCGGGGACGAGTAGGTCGGTGTCCTTCTGTCTCGCCCGTGGGATTCTCGTTTTCCGTATACGTCCGCGTAACAAGTCCTCATGGTCCGTGCCGATCCGGGAGACTCAAGTCGCCGCCGTCGTTACCGGGAGGGATGGCCGCTCAGGCCGAAAGACTATCTGGCCAAAGATGGGGGTTCCAGACAGGCCAGGAATGGATGCTGTGGCGACAGGTGGGCAGGAAAAGGAACGACCGAACCAGGCCGAAAAGCTCATATCAAAGGTGACAAATATGGAGCAAGGAACCCCAAGCGTCTTTGGCGCGCCAGTATCAGACATTGGGTACTCTTGTAGTACTTTCTCTCCCTTCACACTCTTGAAGTTTGTGCCCCGCGGTTTTGGGTGCCGTTTGTCCTGCGCGGATATGCAAGTCGGGGGTTTTCTCGTGCTGATCCCCCCCCCCAGGAGGTTCCAGTAAACAGTAGAGATGTTGGATGCAATTGACGTAAGCTGGTATCGGCGGTGGATCTTTGCCCGGGGATGTCAAGCATCGCGGTGTGTGCTCGCTACTACGTATGGAGCGGATGTGAAGGCCTGATGTTGAATTAGACCAGGAGATGCAATTCTGCCCTGATGTCGGGCAAGGAGCAAACGGAGATCTAAATCCAGAGCCTCCTTCCTGCGTACCCGCGTCTGTCGGGTAAGCCGTGCAAAGTACGTACCGTGTCTTAGTAAGGCAAGGGCAAGCCACCAAGAACGGGGGCGTGCGTCGGAATTAGCTTACAATGTACGTACACAGGAGAAGGTCCAAGCAGCCCCGCAATTTCGCCGCGATGATGTGGATCCTGGTCGTGGCTTGCGGCCTTGCCCCAGATGGAGACTTGCGCATGACCGGAACCTTTCCCCGGGCTGACTGTCTGGTCACTCGGCGCTGTAATCTAGCGTGCCATGGACTTGGACATTGCGGGGCAAGCTGTACCTCGCTAACAATTACGCGCAGGCCCCTTTCTTTCCCGAGACGTTGGCAACAGGGCCAACAGCGACGCACAATGATGATGTCGTCAACTCGCGTGGGCAAGACCCCATTGCCGCAGCCGCAGGTCGTACCTGACTTTTCCCCGACTTCTGACTGGCAACAGCGAACAAGACATCGTGCAACGGATTTCCGTCCTCAACCACTCAATGCTCGTAAACCCCGTTCAGCTTCTCCTCTCCACCATTTTCGCCGTTCGTCCACCTACCTGTAAACAAGCGCCAGGTAGTTGCATCATCTCGGGTCACGTCGCACAGCCGACCGCACTCGGTACGACAGCTCAGCCGAATGTCCGCAGGTTCAATGCGTCTCTGAGTGTCTCGTCTTGGCTCCATACGCTGCCCCACAAAGACCCCGTCGACGGGCTCCACGGTTCCTGGGGGACTCGGAAGTTTGGGGGTCCCGCCTCGTTTCTTCTCATAACCTTACGCCATCACCCAGCTCACAAGAACGCAATGCACATATGCTGTACGTACGCCTAGAGTGACCCAACATCCAGGCATGCCAGGGCGTTGACTTAGCATGTTCCACTCACTGGATCTACCTTGCTCATCTTTCCGTAGTTAGGGCTCGGCTGGTCGGGCTTTAGGATCGGATACCACACCCCAACATTGAAGCAGAGACACCACTCACGCAGGCAGTACGAAGTATGATAATATCGTCTGGTTCTCAAAGCCGAGCTATGGCATCATTGCTTTCCGAATGGGAGACAAGGTGACTGCTTCTCACCATAAGCCCCAGCCATCTCGATGCTCTATCTCGATTCTGTCCTACTGCATGTCAGGAAAACCGGTCCCACACACTATGGGCACGCCGGTCCCTGCAGCGAAGGGGGGGTATGACAGTATACGCCAGAACGGCCTTTTGGTATACTCTTTTTTCTTTAGGCCGCGATGGCAAGACCACCAGGCGAGGAAGCATGGCCTTCCCCGCCATTGGCATGTACTCGTGCGTCAGCTACCTCACCAAGCTCGCTGATCGCCAGCTCCAGCTTCATCGAGTTCTGACCGCCAATGTGAATTCGTTGGCTGCCAATATCAGACGTTCGCTATGTTCAATGGTAGCGAGTAGCGCCAGCTTCAAGCTTCCCCTCGCCGAACGTCGACATCGATCGACATTTTGTTGGGGCTCGGCGGCTGGTCCACCCCTGATGGCTGGCTGTTCAAACCTCAAGGGTCCATGTCTCCAACCAGACAAAGTTACTAGAGAACATCTGAAAAGGCAGCAAAAGCAAGCGCAGCAGCGACCTCCGCACACATCAGACAAACTCTGTCGCCAGACGACTTGGAAGCTGGTGTTAATGTAACCCGGTTTTCTCCCCAGTTCCCAATATGTCAGATCCGCAGGCTACTAGGTATCCTGATAGCAGTCGCTCCAACCCAGATCGTTGTCTTAGTTGCGCCAAGCTCTTTACCCCGCCTGGTCTGGCGTTGACCCTTTGCACTACAATAGCGAGACTGAGCTCCAGGCCTCTCTGGCTGCTCATGTTGCACAAACGGTCCTCAATCGACAAGTTCTTACACGAGAGTGAACTGCAACTAATTACTAGCTGCGCAACATCGAACGCACCAGTGCACCCTGCTTTTTCTTCCGACCGCTAGGGAATGTGGCGATCAATCCATTTGCTGCGAACTGGTCTACCTGGCGCACCGTCGACGAGCCCACTCATTGACGATGAGATGCACTACTTTTCGCTCTTTTCTTACGCATACCTCGCCCCTGCCGCGGCCGTTGTGGAGCTTGAGTAGCTGCAGCGGCCAGAGGCAAAGAGCGAGGGCCATGCTGGCACGATTGACCCCTTGAAAAGTTGAGACTCTAGAACTACGAGGCGTGGTTTTAACGCGGTCTAAAATACGTACATTCGGTTTGCTTCTACCGCGGTTCCCTATGGATTGCGGGTTGATATCGACCTGGAGGCATCATAATGGGAGATTTTCGGTTCAGCGACACGGTGCTTCGTGCTGCTGCAAGCGACCACAATTCACATCCGACCTTGGCTTCCCCAGTTTTCACCAAAGTATACGATCATGTAGCCAGCGAGCCTATCTGTGTCTCTGATTGTGCCCCCAATGGCACCTCAGGATTTGGGCACACGCATACACATGGACGAACACTCTGGGGTATACGCAAAGTCAACTCGGTCAGTGCCATCAACAGCCCTTCCGCCTTGAGCCCGGGAGAGGCATGTCATGCACGGAAGGCGTAACTTGCTGAGAAGCATTGGGCACGGCGCGAGGAGAAGACCAGGCTGATGCCAAAGGCAGGGTCATGGCAGACAATGCCCTGACTGACGACCAATTGGGGATGGTATCTGCTTCGGCTACGACTCCAACAAGACCCGACTCACGCCGACCTAATCTGACGTTAGGTTCAAAAGAGTTGTCTCATGAGACGCAGGCTATTCTTGTCGTGGCATCTCGCGTGTCACTGTTGCGGCCACGGAGCCTGCTGGTGAGAATCGATTGACGCATCCAAAGTCTGAATGCAGCAATGGGCGAATGGGGAAAGTCTCCTTTTCAACGCGGTTAAAAGCAATTTGTCCCCCTGACTATCTCTGACTGGACGGGTCGGACTCCAGGGAGATTTCCATCGGCCTGGCTTGGCTCTGGAGATCCCCCACGAATATCAAATCCCAGATCCAGAATCCATGCCCATTCAGCTAGTTGAGCGGGTTTCTCCAGAATCCCTAGCGCGTGCCTAGGCCTCTGTCCTTGTCCTGGCTGATGATTCTCCTTGGTCGCGTACGTGTTGTAGCTCAGCATCACTCTTACTCTCGGGGAAGCAGTTCCTGACAGCGCCAGATGGTGGAGCTTTGCTATGGACTTGCCTCCTGTCGCCCCGCCATACTCTTTCTCTCAGTGTCTCGTGGAACAGGATGGGCTACCTTGCAATGATATGCCGCACGCTACAGACACTGATAGCACAGACGGGTTCGGGAAACACGGCGGCCTTCGAGAGCAGGGACACTGCCAGCTACAATGGTCTGCTAAGACGGCAATGCAGGTCGGTCTAGACCACGAGTCACCAGGCAGAGGGAATACCGGCTGTGCATCCTCTCGTTTACCTACGTTTTCTGTGCTACGATGAAATGTGCGGGCTGGAGAGCGAGTGCGTTGAAACCTGCCATCTGCACCTCATGCCTCGACAGCTAATGCACCATCTGGTACAGGTATGGCGAATTCTATGCGAGTAACACTAACAAGACCAAGTTGCCAACACGTCGACGATTACAGTTCGGGTTCTTGCCCCTCGCCCTTGGTTTGTCTACATACACACCCGACCCGGCATCGTCCGACCCTCGTCCTACCCCGGTCTTCCACCGTCTCCGGTTTCTTCCTCCACCATCTGAAGCAATTCCACACCCCACAATCCAGGTATACTTCATCGGCCAAACACGAATCTTTGGAGCAGAGGCCATTGAACGGTATTTGCTTGTCGCACGCATCAAACCCACGAGGCTCTCTCTTCTGTCTCCGCAAACTTACAGATTGAGCAATAAAGGCTCCAGGTTCGTGCAGCTAACTACCCTGTCTTGCCGGTTTGGTCTGGTCGTCGTCCTGCTTTGGCCTGGCTGGCCTAGCCTGCCATGCCATACCTTGCCATACCTTGTCTTCTCCGCGCCTCGCCGGCTACAGCTTGAGTCGTCCAATCGATGTTGCATGTTTCAAACCGTGCCTCGTTCATGGCCTTGCCCGGGCGTCTGAAAGGGCGCCGCGCTGCAGGTCGACGCGATTAGGGACAGAGTTCACGACATCCTGACTGCACACAGCTGTCTGTTCCGCTGTGACACAGGACGCTTCTGTTCTACGTTGCGAGCTCTCCTCGAGGAACTCCTAGCGACGGGTACCTTGACTGCCAATGCATAATTGCGGACAGTCTGTCATGAAGACCTTGTAACAAAGTCAACCATTCTACCGTACGTGACCAAGACATGGACTAGTCAACCATCCAGCGAACCAGTCATTCCGCATCTCCATCGCGCTGCTATTTCGTCTCTCGGGCATTCAAAACGACGCCACTATCTATCAGCCCCGCTCAGCCAGTGGCAGCGCCAGGCATTCGAAGCTATGCAACCTTGCAACTGGACGCAAGCCACACTAGCTAATACTTCTTGCTTGATATCATTGCCACTAAAAGACACAATGGCGGGATGCCACCAGGAGACTCGAAGGCGTGCCTAGCAACAGAGAAGACGTCCATCCGCCACCATCAGCGAATTGACTGGCTGATATGCATCATCGCGGGTTAGTAAGAGTCAGGTCGTCAACCTTATCCCCCGACTTGGAAAGTACGGCAGCGGGGTGTGCGGGTGCCAGAGACCAGATAAGGACGACAACAAATGGCTGCAAGATATCAGAACCAGGAGATCCCTGAGTGTCGTTGGCTTCCCTGCTGCCAGCCTCCTCCCGCACAGCAGACGTCTCAGCGGCGCCCGTCTGCTGGATCTTCAACCCAGTCACCGAGATTTCTCTCTCTCTCGCCGGTATGGTAGCGCGGACGATCGTTCTCGCTGGCCTTGTAAAAAGAAAAAAAAATATTTGTTGCTTCATCGGCAACGACATATAACGAAGCAGCTTCTTGTTGAGACCTAAGCCAGTAGACTTGGTGCTACCTGCTGAAGAACCCTGAGCGCATTCAGCATACCTTTCTTAAGCAATCCGGGGCGACGGGTCCCGCGCCGACCGCCCAAGGTCCGGGCGCGGCCGTCGTGCGGTGGACATTGGGTGAGAATGTACCCGGATTATACCGCTAAGCCGCACTGGCGACAGAGTTCGCTTCGTCGAAACTTTCTTCAGGGCGTAGGGCACATGGGAGTCAGGACCCTGATCGGCGCAGTGTAGCAAACTCGGTCAGGTTTCTACCGTATAATGCCTCAGCACGGTTCAGTGGGATTGAATCACCCCAGAGTCCAAACTTCATCCGAGCCGAAGCATTGATAATTGGGGGGGCTTTGACAAGGTGCTTACTTGACCGCGACGGAACAGCTCCGCCTGGCAGACGGAGCTCAGTCATTCAAATAACAAAGAGGCTGAACGAATGCGAGCACTTTGGGACCGACGCCAAGGACGCCGACGACTCCAGGCCTGGCAAATGGCAATGACCCGAGCACTGATTGATATTGACTGTGGTGGCCTCATGCCAAAGTCAGGCCCAATTCCGCTGCGGACAGCACACCGAGGAACCAGCTATGGAGTACTCGAAGACTCGCGGGTCGCCATCCGTGGAGCAGTTCTTCGCATCAAGATCAGTTGCCTTACCCGGCGAAAAGATCACATACATGGAAGTGAAAGCCGGTGGGTTCTCCCGCTTATTGCGGTTGCCGGGCTGAACTCCGCAAAGAGACTTTTGCTGCACAGACACAAAAGAGCTCTCCCACCATTGCCTCGTCCATTCGATACCCTTCAATGCCCGTCGTCTTATCACACTGTAGCAGTAAAGGAGCTTGCCGAAGCAGAGGAATGAATGTACGTGGGAGGATCCAGCTCTGCAACGCGTTGGTGCAACCAGAAGGACCAAAGAAATCCTGAGACGACATGCAGCTGGGGGGGAACTGACGCCGCTCGTTGACCAAGGCTTTGTGCACGTCTTCGCCAACCGCTGTGTAGCTTCGACCAGCGTGGTTCATTGGTCTGGCCTAGGTGCGCATCCCAGAGATCTAGGTCTTCTATATTGTGACTCGTCACATTGAGGCACTTTCGATGCGTTGCTTCTCAAGTTGACAACTTGCCCGATGCTACCCACGATGCAGAGAATCCTGGTCAACATACAAGGGCTGCCACCCCTGCCGCAACCCCCATCTTGCCGGGGAGGACAGCCTCTTGCATCCAGAGTCTGCAACGAGCGCCTCTCGATGTGTGTGGAATGCCCCCCCAACTCCCAAGCTACCTTCAAACGCCCATTTGAATGACTCTTCACCCGATCGAGGTCTAGATCCGCCGACTATGGTATTTCTGTGGTTGAAAATACGAACAGCCATGCCACTATCCGTACTCCTGCGCCTCTTCATCGCAAGTAGCCGACAGGGCAGGACTGTGGCTCGATATATGGGTCTTGTTGGGTTAGGCTTCCGCTCTCGTCGTTTACAGTCTTGCGAGCTCTTCGTCAGAACACCTACAAGCCACAAGCGCAGACAACCTGCCCGCTCGCCAACAGCACCGAGTGGTGAACAGACTTCTGCAAACATTCATATCAGGCAGCGGGAGGTGGAATTCGGAGGCTCTCGGCTTGTTACGCGCGCAAGTGGGTCAAGCATCCTCTTGGCGGCCTTGTTGCCTCTTCTCGTTTTCAGAACATGTCCGGGAGAAGAAGAACATAGGTAGAGCTCCGCAGCCCTGCGACAGCTCCGTCTGCAGACACAGGTCACAACCCGGGGCCCTTTTACGTATCCATCAAATTATCGTGAAGATCACAAAAACCCCGAAACCAATCAACCCCCCACGGAGACGCGATGATCAGGTATGCGTATCGTTTAGCCTGAAGACACGAGATACGGAGTGCGTCGCCCATGCACCCTAGCGAGCCTCACCTTAAACGCCTTGAAATTGGTGTCAATTAAAGCCATGATAGCTGGCTGACGCATACATCGGCTACGTGTCGCCTCATGCCTATCGTAACTTGAAATAATCAGTAGGCGGCTTGGTGAGCCTCCATAAGCTAGCATGTGTCTACTACGTTGGACTAATGCCCTTCTCCACCTAGCAAAGTTGCTGCAAATTTGATTCCGCCGAATCCCTTCACGTCACTTCGGGTACGGCGAAGATCTGCACTCGCGACCTTTCCCCGTCTGCAAGCTGACCCCCCGCAACAACCTCATCTGGTAACCCGATATCATTCACCTGGAGGGTGTTTTCACTGTTTGGCCGCCTGTGTACTAGGCTGCCACTACCTCCTACCTGTTTTGACAAAGGCCGAGCCCCCTCTGCCGCACAGCCGAGAAGCATATGCTGCGTGACGGCCTCAACCGTGTTCGGGATATGGCCGGGGGGGCCCTCCCGCCTGGAAACCTTGTCTGGAGCGTACTTCGGTACCCCAGCCCTTGATGATCAAAGTCGCGGCGTTCATCTGGTCCAGAACGAGTGATGCGCTGCAACGAGGTGCACGACACGATACCTCGAGGAGCGACAGCCAGCTGCACGGTCGAGGCCGAAGTCAGCTTATCTTTGGGATATCACGCCATACCAGCTGCATCCGCTCGTGCCGGCCCAGAGAAGTTGCAGTGATCCTCGGCCATGTTACCTGGACAAAGCGGGCCATGAACAATTGGGTGGAACGGATATAGATCGAAGCGTAGCTTCACTGAGACGCGACGCTCATTCGAGCTCATTGCGGCTGGCAGGCACTAGCCAGGGCCGTTGCCGACGTCCAAAGTTGCGGCGGCAATCAAGCAAGGGGCGCGTTGCGAATACCTAGCGCGTCTCTCAAAGCTGCTGGCCCAAAAGAGGTTTAGAATTGCGAAAAGTAACTCTAGACCGGGGCTGTACGGAGGAGAGCCGATTGAATTGGCCGGAGGGCGGACCGTACCTTTCGGACGGCCCGGCGGAAGGCCCAGCTAGAGCCGAGTCTTTCCGTTCGATTTCAACATTACCAGAGCTTTCACAGATGGTCAAACAACAGTGCTTTGCTGACTGCTGCCGCCCAAGCTCAACCGGAACTGCTGGAGCTGCTTCCCCGCGTTTTCTTTTTCAGCTTGCATCCGCAAGGCATGTCGCTCAGCTTGCTGTAAAGGGCGATTTGGAACCGGGCGGTTCGAAATCTGGAACTTGGACACACGCACACCCCTCCCTCTCTCTATCGGACTGTGCGCCGTATTCGCGCGCAGAATCCTGCTGCCCCGGGGTGTACCCGTCTCATCATTCTTGCTCCGACGGGCTGTGGTGATGACGGACGTTCAGTCGCACGCCCCATTGTTGGTCCGAGCAATTCCAATCATATACGTCTTTTTATTTTTATTTTCCTTGTTCATTTCCCCATCCTTCCCCAGACGTTGGGGTAATTTACCAGTTTGAGCCTTTTCTGGGTTGAATCAGCAGATACTTTCTGGGGTCGGCGATACACCTGAAAAGAAAAGAAAAAAAAGACAAAAGTCGGCAAGGACAGGGCATCTTACGGATGCCTTTATCGCCGACCTGGGGGGCGGCGCGGGGTCGAACGAGCTTACTTCCTGCATACGAAAGTAATCCGTACTCTGAACCGAGTGTAAGCCAAAAGGGTTTGCCACGCCTCCGCAATAGGGGAAAAGAAAGGGAAAAAAGTCTATATTTGACAAGAGACAAAACTATGCAAGTTACAAAACGCGGGGGGGGGAGGAAGAAGAGGGGAAAAGCAAAAAGCTTCGTCGTATAATTTGAC